TTTGCTCCAGCGCCCCCACGCCGCCCCTTTTCGTTCCACTGCCCCCCTGAAAAATGAAATCGCCCACTGGGGGGCATTATCGCCCACGTTAAGAACCACTGATCTAGAAGACAACATGAACAGCAGGACTGCAAACTGAAAAACATCTGCTTCCAACCACTAAGTAATACTATTAATTTGGTTTCAACTGGCTTCATTAAGTGCACAGACAGAATTTTTATTCCCAATTTTCTGATGGGAGTTCACCACATTTCTGTGTAATCTCTTTCCCCAGCCAAACAGGAACCTTGAGTTACAAAGGAGGAGGACAGAGGGGGGAAATACTAAATACCAGACAGCCCTTTGTTTCATGAGTTGAAAGAGAAAATCCAACCAAAGACCACCAAGGATGGAATTTGAAATCTACGTTCCTAACCTGTATCTGTAGCCTGCATTTTGGGACTTATGTTTAAGAAGTAGACCAGGCACCAACATCTGCCATAACTTTTGGAATGTTCATTTTTTTCCAGCACTGTCCACGATATATCAGTGCAAAGCCTGACGAAGACTAATGTAGGACAAAAGCTAGCAATTTTTTCAGTAGTCTAATGAAGGTATCACCTGCCCTTGCTTTTGTACCAGTCATCTTTTGATCATATCTAGTCTTCCACCCAAGGCAGACTTAAGACATTTTTCAGTAGAGATGTGGAACAGACCATGCACATACAGTACTCCCATGTCAAAAAACACACTTCCTCTTCCTTTGTGAACACTGCATAAGAAACATCCAATTTTAGATTTTAAGTGTTGTAACAGACTAGTAGAATTCAGAAAATGTGATGTAATATGTAATTTTCTTAAATCCTATGCAAGCAGGGGTGGGAGGGAAGGTCTATTAGAAAAGGAGGGAAATGAGCATAATTTAGATCAATTGTCTTCTCAAACTCTGCTGTCATTGTAAAGAAATGTCAATTGTTCAGTTTCACTGCAGAAATACTTAATACTCTTAGTAAACTAAACTTTTTACACAGAGATTAAGGAGAATTTAATAGTCTTATTAAGTACAGTGGTGCCTTGACTTATGAACGTCCCGACATACAACCATTTCGAGTTACGACTAGCTCCGGCTACAAAATTTTTGCTTTAAGTTGCGGCCGGAGCGTCAAGTTACAAACAGAAAAAGGGGGAAAGGGGGGAAAGGCGGAGAATTCAAATTGCTAACCGTTGGTAGGCGAAGAGGCTGCTTCTTTGTAGCTCTTTCGCTCCAACGGTTAGAGTGAGTGTGATCAGAGGCGGCTTTGGACTGCCTGGTAAGGTAAGGTGCTGCTTTCTGCTTTTTAAAGACTGTTCTGGGTGGGGTTTGCACTGTGGTTTTGGGCTGGGTGGTGGGATTATGTTTATATGCTGTGATGGGTCTTGCAGGGTTTGTTTTTTCATTCTTTGTTTGTTTGTTCCCATTTCTGATAGGTCTTGGGGGGTTGTTTGCTTTTTGGGTTTTTTCCCCATTTCCGATGGGTCTTGGGGGGGTTGTTTGCTTTATGGGTCCCCCCCCCCATTTCCGATGCATCTTGCATGGTTTGCTTGCTTCTGCTTTGCTTTTTTGCATTTTCAATGGGTCTTGCACGGTTTGCTTGCTTTCTGCTTTGCTTTTTTTACATTTCCGATGGGTCTTGCACAGTTTGCTTGCTTTTTGTTTTGCTTTTCTTGTATTTCTGAAGGGTCTTGCACAGTTTGTTTGCTTCCCCCATCCCCTTCAGCCGGAATGGATTAATCGCATTTCCAATGGGTCTTGAATTGTTTTTCCTTTTCTTTCTTTTTTGTTTGTTTGTTTTTTGGTGATTTTTTTCTTCGGCCGGAACGGATTAATTGCATTTCAATGCATTCAGTGCTTCGACTTACGACCATTTCAAGTTACAACCGGAGTCTGGGAACCAATTAAGTTCATAAGTCGAGGCACCACTGTATTAAGAAAATCTAAACATTGCAAACATTTTGCCTGACTATTCTTTTGAAATTCTCATTTCCTTACTCAGTAATAAAATAGGGTTTCTAAATCACAAGGTCTTTAGACTAGCTGTCCCCAACCTTTTTTGGGACCGTGAACCGGTTGGGGGGGCAAGCTTTGTGCGCAGGTGACATGTCACACTTGTACACAGGTGCGCAAGTGCAACAGGCCCGCACGAGTGCAACACGCCTCACACGAGCACAACACAACCACCGTGCGTGCGGGTGAGGGGACAGAGATCCATCTACACAGTCCAGTTCCAGGAAGCCCACAGATCGGCACCAAGCCGCGGACCACGGGTTGGGGGGCCCTGCTTTAGACGATTTGTGTATGACCAGTTTACTTATTCAAGTTCAACCAGATAGACAACACAGATATGTTGACTGGAATCCCACTGTGCAGTTACACAAATGGCACAAATTTTGAAATTTTCTTAAGTTAAGAAATCTCCATTGATATTATCTGTTACATATTG